TTTGAAATCAGAAAATTAGAGTTAGAGCCCCTGTCTCCACTATTTACTAAATAATGGACTACTTGGCCAGTGGTTTAATATTTCTGACTCTTAGTTTATTCATGAAAATAAGACAGTACTTTGAAGAGTTTATTTGAGGACCAAGTAAGAGTATTTACCAAACATTTGTTATATTGGAAATGATGATGAAATGTGCTGGGTGGCTTGCTGTTCAAAGTAGGAATCATTTCCTCAAGGGACTTACAATAAAGGAGATGGGCTTACAAATGAATAATTAAAATCTGATTAATGAAGTAGTAAAATATTTTCAGGGTTCAGACCTAACTTGTCTTTCCAGGAAGATACAGGTGGAGTTGTTGAGTTAATAGGAATAAGGAGAGACTCTCTGACAGAAGTCTGGGATAACAGGCACAGCACAACTTTTCACAGGCAGCTGAAATGAAACTGGATAATAAGATGCAGAGGGAGTGCTGCCTGAAAAAAACCTGGAGAGATGGTGACTGGAGCCAGATGTTACTATGTGAATGCTTTGTAAACTTGAAAGCTATCTAAAATTTTAGTTATTCTAAGCAGTTGAATATATAAATGACAAGTATCATGGTTTTTTCAGTTCACCTAATTATGTAGGAATATCTATGCTTGTAATACGTATATGATAACCTTTAATTTATAGCATTTATTTTTTTAATCTTCAACTGAGAGTGTTTATGGATTTTAGAGTGACAGTGAGGGACAGAGAAACATCAATGTGAGGAACATCCATCAGTTCCCACCCATACTGGGGATCAAACCCATAATCTAGGTATGTGCCCTGACGAGGGACTGAACCCACAACCTTTTTGTATATGGGACAACACTCCAACCAACCGAGCCACCGCCAGAGCTAGGCAGTTTTTTTCCCCCCTCACACAAGGACATTTTTTCATTGCTTTTAGGAAGGGGGGGGAGGGAGGGACTTATTTTTTAGTATGACTGTATTTATTTAAAACTAGCTTTTATTTTTATCAAGTTTATAAGTATATCTAGTTGAACGAGTCATCTAATGGGAAGGCTTCTTTTGAAAATCAGCACTCTCCTGAATTTACTTCCTTCTAGGTCAACCACCATCACATTTTAAATAACATGCTGAGACTTCCGGCCAAGATGGAGGCATAGGCGGAAACACTGTGCCTCCTTGCACAACCAGGTTTAAAGACAACAAAGTTTTAGTAACAAAAACGCAACCAAAACACAGAAAATTTTACTGTTCAGAAGTCTGACAACAACAAACCATTCATCCAGACCGTTAAAAGGGGCAGAGACAGTGGCTGGTGGAGAGGGGTCACACAGTAAAAAGCACTGGTCCAACCCAGGCGTGCAGGCGGTGGTTGGCAGATCCCAGGTGTAGGGTGGCAATGGGTGGACCCACTGAGGGCTCAAGGCAGCTGGCCGACCACGGTCACACATTCACTCTCAGATAAACCAGGTGAAGGAGCAAGCAGTGAGACAGACTGTGAAGGCTAGGGCCCCAGTGATGGGAATTAAAGCCTAAAAGCACCAATTGGAAAAACTTTTGGGGTCCAGGTGCCGGGAGAAGCTCCCGGGCTCACAGAAAGTTTGATAGAGAGACCCACAGGGTCCTGGCACGGGCCCACACACCTGGGAGCCAGCACCAGTGGGGGCCCGGGTTGCTTGAGGGAAACAGCAGAGGGAACCAAAATCTGAGAGAGAGCATAAAAAACAGAGCTGCCCCTCTCTGACCCCACCCCCACATACAGCATCACAACCCAGCCAACTGGGTTGCCCAGCCCTGGTGAACACCTAAGCCTCCACCCCTCACTAGCAACAGGTGCTAACAGACCAAAACATTATGGCTCAAGAAGAACAGCTCAAACCCCAGAGCCAATACTTCAAAGCAACCAAGAGATAGCCGACCTATCAGATGCGCAGTTCAAAACACTAGTGATCAGGATGCTCACAGAACTGGTTGATTTTAGTCACAAATTAGAGGAACAAATGAAGGCTAAACTAATTGAAATGAAGGGAAATGCACAGGAAACCAATAATGATGGAAAGGAAACTGGAACTCAAATCAAAGGAGTGGACCAGAAGGAGGAAAAAAATGACCAAACAAAAGAATGAAGAGACAAGAATTCAAAAAATGAGAAGAGGCTTAAGAACCTCCAGGACATCTTGAAACGTTCCAACCTCTGAATTGTAGGGGTACCAGAAGGGGAAGAGGAACAGCAACAAGTGGAAAACTTATTTGAGCAAATAATAAAAGAGAACTTCCCCCATTCTGGCAGAGGAAATAGACTTCCAGGAAGTCCAGGCAGCTCAGAGAGTCCCAAAGAAGTTGGACCCAAGGAGGAACACACCAAGGCACATCATCATTACATTAGCCAAGATTAAAATGAAGGAGAGGATCCTAGAAGCAGCAAGAGACAAGAGGACAGTCACCTACAAAGGAGTTCCCATCAGACTGTCAGCTGATTTCTCAAGAGAGATCTTACAGGCAAGAAGGGTCTGGAAAGAAGTATTCTAAGTCATGAAATTCAAAGACCTACATCCAACATTGCTCTATCCAGCAAAACTTTCATTTAGAATGGAAGGGCAGATAAAGTGCTTCTCTGATAAGGTTGAATTCAAGAAGTTCATCATCACCAAGCCCTTACTATATGAAATGTTAAAGGGACTTATCTAAGAAAAAGAAGATAGAACATGAATAGTGAAAATACAGCAAACTCACAGTTACTAAAACCACACCTAAAACAAAAGCAAACTAAGAGGACAGCTAGATCAGGAGCAGAACCATAGAAATGGAGATCACATGGAGTGTTAGCAACAGGGGAGTGGGAGGAGGAGAAGGGGGGAGAAGGTGCAGAAAATAAGTAGCACAGACAGTAGGTAGAAAATGGGGGGGGGCAACAATAGTATGGGAAATAGAGAATCTAAAGAACTTGTGACACATGGACATAAACTTAAAGGAGGGAATGATGGGGGAGGGGATGTGCAGGGTGGAGGGGAATGAAGTGGGGGAATGGGACAGTTGTAATGGCATGATCAATAAAATATATTTAAAAAATAACATGCTGTTATTGCTACTACTTCATTTTTAGTTTTAGGAATTATCTATTGAGTTCCTGCTGCATAAGATGATAAATTAGCTCTCCATCCACTCCTGCCTCTATTATCCCCTTCATTCAATTAGTTATGGATATATATGTGTGTGTATATATGTGTAATTATGGTTAAGTCAGAGCTTCGTATTTATAGCATTATATGGTTATAGCTAGGTCAATATTTAGTATTTATAGTATAAACTATTAACTGAGTCATATAGTGTACTGTGATTACTTTCCCTTTTCTTGACAACTTTTTGTTCTCTGGAATGAATAATTGCCTTGTTTTTGTTTGTTGGCATAGTCATATGTGCTTATTTTGAAAATTCAAACATGAGGTTAGCAAAGTAGTTTTTGTGTCATTTCCATTTTGTGTGTTATATTTTTAAAATCTCTAATACCCATTTTAATTATTTGGTTTATCCTTAATGTTCATAACAGAGGTAAGGAACAAAGTAACATTAATTTGATATTATAAAGAATTATTTATATTAAGTAGCAATTTAAAACCTGGAAGTAATAGTAGACTGTTTGATAAAAACTTATATTTGAAATATATGTATTTTAGTTGAAATAGGTGATTATTTTTGTATTTTGTTATGAAAGTTCAGAAGAGAAATGGAACTTCTTAGGATTATTATCAGCAAAGAATAGCTTCTTATATGGTATGTCTCCCTAATGTTTGTGGGGATATATGGTTTTTGTACATATAATTTATTGATTCAAAGACCTGATGAACTTTATAAATGTTTTCCTTTTCCTATCAGATAAGGTCTTCATAAAATAGTCCTCTATGTTTAGAAATACTGTAAGCCATAGTTCTATTTTATGTAGTCTTTAAAAACTTTGAATTGAAGTGGCTGGTTTTAATTATTTTGTTCAAATTTACTTCACTGGGAGCCCGTTTAAATTACATATCTATTAATGTCCACAGGGCTATATTAAATCACATCATTTTTCTAATTGCAAATTCAAGAGTCTTCTGATAGATTTTTCTTTCCCATTTTATAGTGACAAAAATGCTGAGCTTCTTTCGTAGAACACTTGGGCGTCGGTCGATGCGTAAACATGCTGAGAAGGAACGACTCCGAGAAGCTCAGCGAGCTGCCACACACATTCCTGCGGCTGGAGATTCTAAGTCCATCATCACATGTCGGGTGTCTCTTCTAGACGGTACTGATGTTAGCGTAGACTTGCCGGTAAGTAGGTCTTGCCGACGTGAAGAGTATATGAGATCATTTTTTTTCTTATGAGCTTTCTACTTGATAACTTCCTGGGGGAGTAGGTGATAAGGGTTAGTGTGGATCAGGCACTGAAACATACAGGTACATGAATCAGGTAACTTTAGGATCCTGGTATGATAGATTTCTCTGGAATTAGTGGCCATTACCTAAACATTTAAATAATATTTAAGTTATTGATGCAGGTAATCTGTGTGTGCATACTTCACAATGGCAGTACATAGTGCACTCTGATGGATTTCACACAGTAGCTGTCGAACAGTCATTACAGTAGTACAAATCTTTGGCAACCAGAATGATACTTCCATGTATACTGTAAGACTTATTTTTCTGTAGTTTTCTGCAGTTTTCAAAACATTCCTTACCTTCCTCAAAACAAATACTTCCTCCACAGTTTGGCATGCTTGCAGAAATTTTAGTGAAATGAAGTGAGAAAAGGGATTTTCATTATATTCCTCAGCTCTGACTGTCTCTTTGCTCCCATAGTCTTTTGTGGGGGAGGTTTTTCATATACTGCTCTTTATTTCAACACAGGACATTTGTTATTATATTCAGATTTTGGATCGATTTTTTTAAGGTTATAAGTAATCCTAAGTCAGAGTGTGAATCAGTTCAATACATTTGAAAGGCATTAACTACTCTTTACAGGCATTTTTTTTTCTGGCCCACTGTTCCCGGAAGTAGTGCAATAGTGGGTCAATGCGCAGAGTGAAGGAAGCAATTCTATCTCCTAGCTCCAAAAATCCATTTAATATAATATCCTTGGATAGAGGACGAATCAGATATTAAACTGATAAGAACAGATACTACACTTGATCTTAGCTAAAAGGCCTGGAAGTGACTGTTCTTTCCTGTTTTGTTTTTTTTACTAATGCCAAATCTTTCTCTTATCTTTATTCTGCTTAATTAGGTCAAAAGATTTACCTAATTAAGCTGTAAAATGTGTGATTTGATGTGAACATCATTGGATATTTCACGATGTCTTTCTTCCTCACAAACTCTTTTTAGTACACACTTATTTACCCAAAATACAATAAAAATAAGAGTCTTTGTGAGATGTGATATTCTGGTTGCTGCAACATTAGTTGAATAAGCTGTGAAAAGCCATTAACTTACGGAGTAAGAGCTTTAAGGATTTGGATAGTTTATTCAAATGAATGTTGTGATTGTTAAATAATTTAGAATATACTAAGTATGTACCTTATACTTTTTCAAAATAATGCAATATAAAATTAAAGACAGGATTTCTGTGCTTTTGTAAAAGAGGTATTTTTCTTTTAAGGTTTTATTTATTTATTTTTAGGACGGGGGGAGGAGGAGAAAGGGGGGGGAGAAACATCAATGTATGGTTGTCTCTCACATGCCCCCTACTGGTGACCTGACCCACAACCCAGGCAGGTGTTCTGCCTGGGAATCAATCTGGTAACCCTTTGCTTTGCAGGCTGTTGCTCAATCCACTGAGCCGCACCAGCCAGGGCTGAAGAGGTTGTTTTTTAAAAAGATTTTATTTATTTATTTATTTATTTATTTATTTATTTATTTATAAATAAGAGGAAGAGAAATGGTGATGTGCAAGAGGAACATCAATCAGTTGGTTGTCTCTTGCACACCCCCAACCAGGAACCTGGCCCACAATCCAGGTATGTGCCCTGACTGGAAATGGAACCAGCAGCCCTTCAGTTTGCAGTCTGGTGCTTAATCCACTGAGCCACACCATCCAGGGCCAGCATTTCTTAAAGTGTTTTAAAGTCATTACAACAGTTAAGCGAGAGCTTGGTGCTACCACCAGGTAGGAAGAGGGTGCTGGGCTGGATAAAACAAGGTAGAGAGCTAGATTCAGCCCATGGGCCTTGTGTTTGCCACCTTTGTTATAAGGGCTTCTTGAGGGTTTGTCAGATGTTCCAATATATGATGCTTTGTGAGAAAAATTTTCTTATTCATTTCTTATTTGTTAAGTATTTTAATATTTGTATGTATTAGTCTACTAAAATATTAGGTATGTGGTGAAAAGCTTGAGATTGTTGTGTAAGAGACCGGAAAGAAGTTTCTTATTACCTAATGTTTGAAGTATGAAGTCTCAGGATTGTTGATGGAGAGGCTGGTACTAGGAAAGTAGAATTTGTAGGAGCTTTTATAAAAGGCAGTGTATTATGGAGGGAAAACAGCACTAGGTTTTAAAGTAATAGAGTGGATGGCTAGTGACTGGTATAGAATGGTTTCCTATGCTTGGTACGCTCAGGAGGGTATATGTGATTCTTGACCAAAGCTAGAAATGCAAGCTTGCTTCTCATGCAGACAAGTGTAATGAAAAAGCCAAGAATTTTAGATTTGACTCTTTGTGGAACTAGAACAATTGCCTTTTCAGCTTTGTAGGTGAAATCCTAGAGTTAGTAAACTAACTCTAGATAGTTGCATGGATTATAAAATGGGCATTGGCCTGCCAGCTAAACTGCTTTATTACTAAAGGAGAAAAGGCCAGAGGAATATTAATTTCTGACAAGAAAAGGTCTTTCCTTTTTCTGATTTAGTTTCGCAACCAGTCTAGTATGATTTTAAAAGAAGGGCTAGAATTGATTTTGGAAATTAAAGGAAACACATACTCATTTCCTATTAAGATTAGGGTCACTAGTGATTGTTGCTACCCACCATGCAACTAAGATGATTGCCCAGGAAATATTATTAAGGATTATCAGCGATTAGCCCTGGCTGGTTTAGCTCAGTGGATTGAGCACGGGCCTGTGAACCAGAGTATCGCAGTTCGACTCCCAGTCAGGGCACATGCCTGGGTTGCAGGCCAGTTCCCAGCAGGGGGCACATGAGAGGCAACCGTACATTGATATTTCTCTCCCTCTCTCCTTCCCTTCCCCTCTAAAGATGGATAAATAAAATCTTTAAAAAAAAAAAAAGGATTATCAGCGATTAAATAGAATAATTCAAATCTATGGATGTCAAATATATAAGTAGTAATGGTCGTTTTCTTCTTTCTGCTCTCCTTTTGTCTCAAATTTATTGAGAGGAGAGGGATTTATTTAAATAATTTCTTCCTTTCCTTTTCTTTTTTTGAAGAGCTAATACAGTGTTAAGGCCTTTCAGTGAATGATAAAGGCATTAAATGGAAATTTCTATCTGATTTAGAAATTTTCTCTTTGGAAATGCCACAGTAACTCTTTTGATTTTTGAGTTGATTATTGTTTTGTAAATAGCCTGTCTTTCAAAACTTAGTATCTCCTAAGTTTTAAATTAATAGGAAATATTTGATTAACCAGTAGATAATTTTATGTACCGACTTTGTTGATGTATAAAGACTTTGTTCAAGTCTTTATGTAGACCATATATTGTTATACCTTTTAATAAGTGAGAAAGCATCTCATGTGCACAAACTGACGTAACATTGTTAAGATAGCAATATACTCAAAACTGATCTACGAATTCCACATAATCCCCACCAGCATACTAGATGACTTATTTGTAGAAACTGATAGTTGACTTTAAAATTCATATGGCATTGCAAAGGACCAATAATAGCCAAAACAACATTGAAAAAGAACAAAGTAGCCCTGGCTGGTGTGGCTCAGTGGACTGAGTGCCAGCCTGTGAACTGAAGAGTCTCTGGTTTGATTCCCAATCAGGGCACATGCCTGGGTTGTGGGCCAGGTTCCCAGTAGGGGATGTGTGAGAGGCAACCATATATTGATGTTCCCCCCCCCTTTCTCCTTCCCTTCCCCTCTAAATAAACAAATAAATAAATTTTAAAAATGTAGTAGGACTCATACTTCTCAGTTTTAAGATTTACTGTAAGCAATAGTAATCAACATTGGTGTGCTACTGGTATAAGGATGGACACACACAGATCAGTGGAACAGAATAGAGACCCCAGATAAATCCATACAACTGTGATCATTTGATATTTGGCAGGGGTACCAGAACCATTCATGGGGCAAAAATAATTTTTTTCAGCAAGTGATGCTGGGAGAACTGGATAGCCAGATGCAAAAGAATGAAGTTGCAACCTCACCTCATGTACCATATATAAAAATTTACTCAGAATTGAGCAAAGACTTAGACATAAGAGCTAAGAGAATATAATTCTTAGAAGAAAATATAGGAATAAATCTTAATGACCTTGGATGTGGCACCAGTTTCTTAGATATGTCACCAGATACATGAACAATAAAGGAAAAGTAAATTGGACTTTATCAAAATTAAAACTTTTGCACCTCAAGGGATACCATCAAGAAAGTGAAAAGACTCACAAAATAGGGGAAAGTATTTGCATACACTTTATGCTAGTATATAATAGCAAGTGTTGGTGAGATTGTGGAGAAATCTGAACTCTGTTCCCATTTTTTGTCAGGAATATAAAGGAGTGCAGCTGCTTTGGAAAACAGTCTGGCAGTTAGTTCCTCAAGTGTTTTGAGAGATTCTTTTTCGAGAGGTCAGATTTCGGTTAGATTGAGCATTATTAACATTAGGAACCTGCAAGTACCTTGTGTTCACTGTTGGTTGGCCTTCAGATAGCCCCTGTTAAGGGCTCAGTACATACCCTTAAGGAGGTTTTTTATTGTGAGGAGGCAGCTATTCATCCAGTTAGCAGAAGTACATTCTGTGTTATTTCTGAACACATCTGTCACGTTTTAAGAGGCTGGCAAATGATGCTTTGACAGAATAATGATGAGAGTTATTTATTTATTTTTTTAGTTGTGCTTCCTTCTGGTCTTTGAAGCAAATAAAGAATGTTGATGGAATATGAAATTGATTCTAGAACTGTACCTTAGAATTAAGGTAACGAAAGCATCACCATAAGTTTCATATCAGATGAATAAATGCTGCAGGTGATTTCTGTAGCTCTTTCTGTTATAATTCAGAAATATTTTGTGTTCCTTTTAAGGTCATTGCCATTTGCAAAGTTTTATGTAATTAGTATTTGCTGTTTAACTTAGCAATGCTTTGTGACTTAGTTATTATAAGTAAGATTTCAAATCAAGTTTTCCCCACACACATTAAACCTGAATACTTAATTATAAAGAAAAATGACCTTTTAACACTATTGAGTAGGGTACAAGGGTCAAAACAGAAAGATGGAAAAGCATGATTCAGTATCACCCAATTTTTGCACATTTATCAAATGTATTGAGAACAGTGTCTAGGTTTGTGTATAAGTAAAGTGTGCCCAAGAAATAGAGGTGAATTTTGCTTTTAAAATTTGACAGTTAGGTTCCATCTATGATACTGCTCATTTTTTAAAAGGTACAGATGTGTGCCTGTGAAAGCTGTGTTGTTGTTTCCCAAAAAGGAACACTTGGCAAATGCATTTTGAATGTTTGTGTTTCCACAGTTAGGTGACAGTTCCTTGCTGATGCCTGGTGGAAGATACAGCAGATCTCAAATTTGGATAGGGATATGCTGAATAGCAGATCACATCAAATTCTTGAGCATTCAGTCTAGTGAAGGTGTTGTCATGTAAAATAAACAAGTAGTTGAATTAATTATGTGATGGTAATTATTGTTAATAAATTTTAACATTTTTCAAAATTAATAAAATTGTTTTCTTCATCATTTTCAGTAACAACAGCCTGTTTTTTCCCTTCCTTAGTCCACATTTCTCTTTTTAATTAAGTTAATAGATAAATATGTTCAAATATTAAATTGAGTTTCTTTTACTTGCCCATGTAGATTTAAGATTTCATGGTCTTTTGCTGATTTCTCTCCCATTGTTGGACATTTTTGCTCTTGTTCACTTGGCTTTAGCCACTGAACTTGTTGCTCTTGGAGTCAGCCAGATGCTAACCTTGTCCCCCAAGATTAACCCCTGAAGGAAAGATTTTAAAAATCTAAGAAATAA